GGACAGTTTTTGTTGAAACTGTACTGTTACTGGATGTGTTTTCACTTTCTGTTCTATTGGACAGTTTTTGTTGAAACTGCACTGTTACTGGATGTGTTTTCACTTTCTGTTCTATTGGACAGTTTTTGTTGAAACTGCACTGGTACTGTATGTGTTTTCACTTTCTGTTCTATTGGACAGTTTTTGTTGAAACTGCACTGGTACTGTATGTGTTTTCACTTTCTGTTCTATTGGACAGTTTTTGTTCATTAGAATTATACTTCACCTTAGTTAATTTTTTGTGGTTATCTCCTAGTCCGTGTTTCAAGAGTTGCTGTTTACCACTACTATCACAAGTAACTGTCTTTTGACAGATACTACAGAAACAGTAAAACTGCTCATTTAGCAAGGGTAACATCAACATGAACATTCGTGACCATTATTGGTTCTGGATTCACATTTTTACATGCAGCATTGAAATTTTCCACATTACCTTGAAAATATAACACTTGTTAAAGAAGCTGTCTCAAGTACCACTGCCATGGACACATAAATTACACAAACAATACAACACTACATGCACATATGTTAGATGAGCATAAGATTAATTGGGTCTACTAAAACTATCAGGGTCTAGCAATTTTGCGATACAACTCACAGAGACATACACACTCTTACAAACAAAAATCAAACAACATGCAGCTAAAGCTTAGGCAAATATTAACCGTGACAATGAAGTGTAATTCAACAAAAGCTGGAGCACATGCTTCAATTTGAAAACTCAAAATGTATTGAGTTAAAGAAACATTTGATCATTCCTCAGTTAATTTTTTATTTGGAATCGAGGTTATGTTCACTCTAAAGTCACTTACAACAAAGCAGAGAAGACAATTTACACATCTTATTAAAGACAGTCTCTCTCTCTGATGCCACCAAAACTTATCTTGTGCTAACCATCAGATTCTGAAACACTTTGCTATCTTTAGGTAATAATGGAGGATAATATAATATAATTACATGTGTTTTTAAAATGATTTTGGTATTTCATGTTAGGCTAAACCAAAAATGTTGTTAAAATGTGGGAAAATTATGAACATTGCCTAAAATAAGGGAAAAAAAGTTGGAAAGTGAAGCAACGTTGGAGGCCTAATTTTAGAAGGATACTTCAAAAACCATCAAATGATATCTTAATTTCTAGAGGATTTTATGAATACAAATTTTAATAAGTTCTCTAGAAGGTTAGTTCTTATACTAAATAAATATCATAACACTCAAATATGTGAAGCTATGCAAAAACAGCAAGTCACAGCATTTACCAAACTTTTGTCATCCACGCTCCACATTTCTTTATAAATGAGTGAAAGAGTGAGATAAATAATGAGATATAATACACTGACACACATTAAAATGCTGTATGTGTTGTAGTAATTACTTATAATTTTCATTAATAAAACACATATTAAAATGCTTAACCTTGCATTATTTCACTATTGACTCTACCCTCATTTCTCACACCTCCTCCCCCTCAAGAGATTGTTTTTTACCCTCCTGGGGTGTGCACCCCATACTTTGGGAAATGCTTTAATAAGGTATCCAAAGAGTGAAAGTTTACAGAAAACATTATCAACAAGCATAGAACACTAACAACAACTTACAAGTATTTATAAATTATTTACAAAACTAGAATTAACACATACTTACAAATTACCCATCACACGAACAATAGGAATTAATGTTACCTAGTGGTCAAAGTCTTCATTTTTAGAACTAGAATAGGTATAGCAAAATCAACATGACTACACTAATAATGGCAACAACAATGTAACTATACCCAGGGTTTGAAGCTTCTTTTTTTTCTTTCTAAACTTCAAACAAATGTCATTTCAAATTTCAACCTTAGCCTTTCTAGGATAGATCATTCAGATGAAATTTAAACACGCTATCACTCTGTAAAGCCTGGGTGCACTGAATCGATGTACCTGTTGTAGAGTTTGTACATATTTTAAATCAAATTAAAACACAACTGGATTTATCTGCAGGTAGTACATATGTCAAAGCTACAATGGCTATTTGCTGCCATACTTAATTTTTAACCACTTGCCAGAGAGAAGGTAGCCAGTTAGAGGCACTCTACAACCCATGCTAAGGGAGTGACTATCTCTCTGACAATGCACCTATAGCTTAAAGTGAGGAATATTTTGTCTGAATCTCACTTACCAGCTCCAAAATACAAAGCTCTGCCACAGAGCCAACCTGCACCCAAGACACAACTAATTCAAGAATTTTGTATCTTAACATTATCTCTAAGTATATACATACCTAGTAGTAGTCAATGTATGTTCACTATCAACTTGATTCTCATAGTCACCGTCGATGGTAGCGGCTAAATTCACATCAGTTCCAGAGCACAACAACTCCTTAACGCAGTCGGGTTTGTCTGCCATACATGCCAGGTGAAGAGGAGTGTGACCATCATTGTTTCTTGTATTAATCACGGGACAAGGGGACTGTTTGGCTAGCATCTATACAATTACCACAAACAGGTATCAAGTTTTTCTCTCAGTAATGCTAGAGTAACATACAAAATTGGAACAGATTAACTAGATCAACCGATCAAAACACAAAATTACTGATGCAAAAACTAGCCAATCTTTACACGGCATTAAGTAAAATAGAAAAACACAATGGTCAAACAGCCAAACAGATTAACAACAAAATATATAGTTGGGCAGACTGACCAAAAAATTAAAAGAAAGTCATAAGAAAGAACAGAAAAATAAAATGAACAGATTAATTATAAACAGTATCACCTGCCTATTGCTTTATTTAGTCTGTCACAACTCACAAAGTTATAAGTTATAACAGGGTATATTTATTAGAATCTTTCATCACTTAATTATCATAATTACCAACCAGCAACTGTACTGTAAATTCCTGATTGGCCAAAGGAAGAAGAACAGCCTACCTCAGAAAATATACTACAAAAGGTTTTGTAAACTGGCAAACTACTTGTAAAAATTAGTCAAGCATGGTAGACAGCTGAAAGAGCATTGTCAAGTTGGCAAACAATTTAAAATATATATATCAAAGGCTCAAAAATATTTTCAAAATCATACAGAGAAAAAACATATAGATAAAAAAACTTTGTGAAAAAAATTCTAACCATTTCGAATACAATGTGGCACTACCATATTTTCACATCATTATAATCATATGCACACCTACCTGAACAATTTCTTTTTTTGTTGTTGCAGCATAATGATAGACAGTGTCTCCATTTTTGTCAGCAATATCAAGCCTCGCATCTAGAGATATTAGCATCTGGATCACTGGCAGTTTCTGGGCTTTAACTGCAAGATGTAATGGTGTAACTTGGGTGTCTGCACACACAGCATTGATTTTACTGTACAAGATAAAGATACATATACAGAGAGTCAACAACTTTCTTCAGTGCCAACAACAAAAACTGTTTTATGTTTAATGAACAAACTGTGTGAATGTTTTACTCAATAGGTTCAATGCAGGTTTGTGTGTACAAGTACACATAATTGTTTAAAATAAAACTGGGGTAGAAGCTATTTAAATCAAGTCCAATTATTTTCTCAGATTTTAATTTTAACCCACGAAAAATAATGCATGAGAAAAAAAACTGAACTACAATCCCATGACTTTTAAATGCTGAGTGTGTATTTATTTTACAGCTGTTGATACAAAGCTGTCGCCCGAGACCTATCAGTGCGGAACATACATATTAAGAAGACAAATCACGGTGATTTAATTACACTGTATTTGAATATGCTAACATAATAATGTAGTGTGCTGTCACAGGTACAAGTACGTGTATATACTTGATTCAGAGCAAATTCCCTACGATTTGACAGTGCTCTGCCACTAGTGTATTTTAACTAAAGGAGTATGTCATAGCCCTTTTTAGAAAGAAGGATATTCTTATGGCATTGATGTTAGCCCTATGTCAGTTTATTGGACCAAACCAGTACCTGTGACATTATGCATAATAATAATTATGACATTTGGCAAAATTTTAGAAGGCATTAAAAGTCTATCAAGCATAAAAAAAATCAGAATTTTGAATAAAAGATTTGTCTGTGAATTTTCAAAGCCTTTACTAAGTCAATCTGAGTGAAAGGTGATTTTCATGATAAGAATACAAATACTTTTCATATTTCACTTGCATAGCCTCTAGAACATCCCAAATAGATAATAAAAGTTTTTTTTTGTAAAACTTTGTACTTTATTTCTTATTTTCTGTAATTATAGCAAAATTATCAGTGTACAGTAAAACAAAAAGTTGAAAAATATAAAACAAAATCAATAATACTTTTTTTCCTGGAACTACTACAGATTGTAACGAACAGTTACAATTATTCATCCTGACAGATTCAGCTTCTCACCTTTTCACATCTGTTTGCTTTTAAAGTTTACTGTTTTATTATTGTACAATAAGTGTAAAAAAAAAAGGTCATGACAAGAAAATTTTTTTTTCTCATTTGTTTTGGAACATATGCAAGGACCCAGGATGCTGCTGTCTCTTTTTGAGGAATATGTCCTATCCCAAACATAAAGGGGGGGGGGGGAACTACTTAATAAAATAATTATTAATAATTATTAATTAAATAATTATTATACAGTTTTATCACCAATATAAGATAAGAATTGATATAACTAATTATACTTGTAATAAGACATCATGTTAGGCCTATTATATATTTTAACACTACATTCTTAATATAGTCCCTTAAGGACTTTTAAGAAGTAGAATAATATACTACAATAGTATTTCAACCACATATTCATCGTATCCTTAAGGGAATAGATTAAGAATGTAGTATTAAAAAATATACTAAGCCTAACATGTTAGGCCTATTATATATTTTAACACTACATTCTTAATATTGTCCCTTAAGTACTTTCAAGAAGTAGAATAATATACTACAATAGTATTTCAACCGCATATTCACCGTATCCTTAAGGGAATAGATTATAAAAAGTATTCACATTATAAAATGAGTTATTTTTGTTCTGATATACAAAAAGTCAGAGTTGTACCTTGCAAACAATTCATTCTTGAAGCATTCAGTGAGCCCATAATCAGCAGCCAGATGAGCCACTGACCATGTAGGATGGCTTCTGATCAAGTTTGATAACTCCTGGAGTGAATCCTTGTTCACAATCTCGGGAACACACATCATCAAAACAGGTAATTTGTCTTTAAGGTACGTAAAAGCAATTTTACTTTCATCCAATTCTGGGATACGGATAAGGCTGTAATAAACACAAGATTAAGAGCATTAAAACTGACAAGAAAAGTTCATTTTTATAAAGTGTCCCTAATAAAAAAAAATAAAAAATTGTTATCTATGAAACTTAAGGATAACTAACATGTTGATGAAAGGCGATAAAATAATAAACACAGAATGTTTAAAACATTTTTTTCACAATTTTACTGAGAATTGTCCTACAAATGAAATATAATAAAAACTAAACAAGAAAATCATTAGGCCTACCCAACTGATCCTAAAACACACTATCAATAGTTTGCAATACTTCATTAAATTTACCACAGGTACAACATTGTATATATATGTTTTATGTATTTAATTTAGCAGTGCTTTCACCATAAATTTACAAATGAAATACATTTTATGTTGTTTTCCCACTCATTTTATGAGAACTTTCTTAGCTCAACACACCTCAAAGTATAATATATGGCTTCATTTCGTCTTTCATAGTAGCCTAATACTGCAAAAAAAATTCAAAAACAACATGTATATTTAATCAGAAACTTGATCTCAACACTACAATTAAAGCCCCCACACATAGTTCTTGTTGTTTTCTGCTACTTAATGTCATTTGTTACACTTTTTCAAGGAAAGGTGTCCTTGTTATACATTCCTTTTTTTTAAGAAGTTTTATTTGATGGTTTTTATTATACTAACTCATTTCCAAAATATCAAATAATCACGAGTCATATATCACATACACATATTAGCTAGCACATTTATTGCTCATAATATTCACAATCTAGTACTTTGAATTAATACTACACTTAGTAGCTTAGCAAATGGTTTGTTTGTTTGTTATGGATTTTGCACAAAGCTACACGAGGGCTATCTGCACGAACCATCCCTAATTTAGCAGTATTAGACAAGAGGGAAGGTAGTTAGTCATCACCACCCACCGCCAACTCTTGGGCTACTCTTTTACCAACAAATAGTGGGATTGACCATCACATTATAATGCCCCCACGGGTGAAAGGGCGAGCATATTTGGTGTGACGGGGATTCAACCCCGCGACCCACATATTGCGAGTCGAGCGCCCTACCCACCTGGCCATCCCGGGCCTTAGAATAACCCGAATCTCATAAGTTGGCTGAACCTTATGATATTATTTAGATTATGGTTAAGAATAGTAGGCCCTCATCTAATGCTTCATTGCATCCTAAACATTATAGATTTTTTATAGATTCCTTGTGTATTAATTTGTGACATTTAATATTTCCTGCCAGTTTAATTACACAGGATTGTTTTCTTGATTTATAAACTACTTCTTAAAACTATGTAGTTCTGATCATGATGTAAAACTTAATAATACTAAAATCTGTTTGTTATGCATCAACAATAAATTTATGAAGTCAATTTTAAAAATAATTTTCATATAAAATTAAGATTAGAAATAATTTAATAAATGTAAAACATAATAAAAAGTGAACAATATTTTAGTGAAATACCTCACATTTAGCCCTGATATATATATATATAAACTCTACCTTGTTAAGACGTGCATCAATGTAGATGTAAACACTGATGGAATAAGTTATTACATGTACAATTTTTCCAATGAGGTTCTGAGATATATAAGATAGTTGATCTAGCTGGCTCGAAAATTCACCATTAATTAAGACTATTGTAGCATAAAAACATATACAATAATGTTTGAACAGTATTATTTATTCGTATTTCAGCAAGTTTTCCCACCTAAACGCTGCATGAGGTATGTGTTTCAAATCTTTGTGCACCACAACATCATACACGTCCTTCTCGTCTTTCTTATAGTGATAGAGAACCAAACAGTCTTCTCGAGAAATCACATCAGAATGGGCATAGTCCTCTGGTTTTACCTCGACAACTTTGAAAGGGTCACCT